TGGTAAAGCATGTCAAGAAATAGAAAGTGCAAAGGTTTGCAACAAGACTAGTCCCAGAGCTAAGGGGATTGTCCTACGAAGAAAGGTTAGGGAAATTGGCCTGACGAAACTGGAGGACAGGAGAGTCAGCGGGACATGATAATGTTATATAAAATACTGCGTGGAATAGACGAAGTGGACAAAGACAGGATGTTTCAGAGATGGGACACAGAAGCAAGGGGTCACAATTGGAAGTTGAAGACTCAGATGAGTCAGAGGGATGTTAGGAAGTATTTCTTCAGTTATAGAGTTTTCAGGCTGTGGAATAGCCTAGAAAGTGTCGTAGTGGGAGGCGGAAACCATACATAGTGTTTAAGACGAGGTTTGATAAAGCTCATGGAGCAGGGAATGAGAGGACCTAGTAACAATCAGTGAAGAGGCAGGGCCAGGAGCTATGACTAGACCCCTGCAACCACAAATAGGTGAGGACATATATATATATATATATATATATATATATATATATATATATATATATATATATATATAAACACTGATCTTGGCTGATGGAGACTCGAACCTACTAACCTTGGAACAAGGTACGCAGTGCTTTACCAATCTACCACACTGGACCAATACCTTGGAGTCCAGCATGCAGGGGATGAGATGAAAGCTGTAAGCCTTCTCACTGAAAGCTGGCTGCCTTGGATCAAAGTCTAGCACAAGCTGGACTCCAAGGTATTGGTCCAGTGTGGGTAGATTGGTAAAGCACTGCATACCTTGTTCCAAGGTTCGTAAGTTCGAGTCTCCTTCAGCCAGAGATCAGTGTTTGTGTATATTTCGCCTGCTCTTGCGAATTCCTTGCATTGTTAATATCTCTAGTAAGGCTGATGCATGCAGGGGATGAGATGAAAAGCTGTAAGCCTTCTCCTGAAAGCTGGCTGCCTTGGATCAAAGTCTAGCGCAAGCTGGACTCCAAGGTATTGGTCCAGTGTGGGTAGATTGGTAAAGCACTGCATACCTTGTTCCAAGGTTCGTAAGTTCGAGTCTCCTTCAGCCAGAGATCAGTGTCTGTGTATATTTCGCCTGCTCTTGCGAATTCCTTGCATATATATTATATATATATATATATATATATATATATATATATATATATATATATTCCAAACAAGCCACGTGGGGGTGGAAATCTTTAGCTCAAGTACTTTCACACTTCTCAGTGCGTCATGGGCAGCTGTGCAATGTTACAAGAGTGCAACCAAAGAAGGGAGAGAGGTCTTAGAGCAGCTTGGTGCAGGACGTGTCACTGTCCACGGTTACCCTTAGACTTTGGTTAGTAGTCGGTGCCAACCCCACTCTACCATCTCCCTGAAGTGATGGCCAGGAAAAATGTACTAGTTTACCATTACAATGAGAATCTGGCTTGCCTGCATGAGGTATTAAAAAAGATCAATATACCTTGCTCTCATAAATACAGGGACTGTGAAACAAAGGCTGATTAAAAACACACTCTTCAACAAAGTTAGTGGTGTTTACAAGGTCCCATGTACTCAGTGTCCTCTCTCATATATTGGTCAAACAGGTAAATTTCTGGAAATCAGAAGTGCCAACGTAAATGCTCAGTCAGGATAGGGCAGGAGTCGAATGCTATCTTTAACACGTTAGTGTCTGTAATCACCCACCGGGGTGGGATGCTGCCCAGATTGTGTACCAAACAGTTTGTCATGGAAAGAAGCATGATTGATCTTCCAGATGAAACATGAAAGGAATACAGTATATAACTTAAATTATGGGTTATACAAGCTCATAGCTATTTAGTAGAGTCCATTGTAAACAATTTTCAAGAACAATGTTATACAAAATCACAGGATTGCTCATTATGCAAGGTGGGTTAATCGATTGGTGATGCCCGACCAGTGTCTAAGCACCAAAAACTCAAACCACTTCAGTTGTGATGATTATATAATGCATGTAGCTGTTAGTGTACCATACAGCGACAAGCACATAAGATTACGAGATAACATAAGGAGAAGTTAAAGGGTATTAACTGAATTTAGATAATAGAAATATTATCGGAAAGGCATAAAAGATTCCCACATATGGCATTTTAACCGACACTGAGACAAATAGTAGACAATATTAGGAAGAGATACTTCTGAGTACCTAGAGAACATTCGAGTACCTCAGAGCAGGACATTTAAACGGGCAAAGAGCACATTCTATCTCTTTCTTTTATTATTTGAAAAGGTCACACAAAATAATAGCAATCTATACAAGAAACGAATTTTCTCAAACCACATGACCTGTTATAAACGATTAGAAAAAGTTTAGGGCTGGCTTTTATATCTTAAAATTTTCTTTATTGATTTCTAAAAAAAACCCCTCCTACCCCATATGGAGAGTGAGGATGATGGTAGGGTGGGGTTTGGCACCGCCCTAAAAAACGGCTAAGGGTAACCATGGCCCGTGACCACCCGCATTTATGCTACTTTAAGACCCTCTCCCTTTTTTGGTTGCTCTCGTGAAAATTTCCCCACAGCTAATAAAGGACCCCACTGAAAATTTGGGAAAGCACTTGGGGTTAAAGATTCTCCCCCCCCCCCCCTCGTGGCTTGTCTTCCCTTTGAAAAGGGATCCCCCGTCTGCATGTTTGCACACACACACCAACCCACACAAAACCCCACTTTTTCCCAACACACCCCCACACCACCCCACACACACACACACCCCAACACTTTTATTTTTATATATATATATTTTATATATATATTTTAATTTTATTATATAAATAATATGTCGGGGCCGAAAAAGAAAAACTGGCAATTAGAAAAGGGAACTCTTTAAAAATTAAGTCCTACCAAAAATTTTCTTTATACTTTGGGAAAGAATATTTTTTTCATTAATGTTAATGAAAAAATTTTAAAAAATTTTTGCCCCCAAAAGGGAATTTTGAAATTTCCAAAACCCTTATTATAACAAGTGAAATTTTTTTTTAGCCTACCCAACTAAATAAAATTTTAGATTTGTTTACAATAATTTAATACTAAACAAAAACCAGTGAAATAATTTTTTTCGTTAGGTACAGAATTTTGGCAAAAATTATTCCCATACCAATTTTTTTGGTCCTATATGGCAAGATGAGCGTTGCTTTTTTAACCGATCGCAAGTTTTCCCTATTCGGCCCGCATATATATATATATTTTAAATTTTATATTAAAATATATATTTATATATTTATATTTTTATTTTATTTATATATATATATTTTTTAATATATATATATTTTTATTGTCGTCCCCGAATATAAAAAATTTGGTCATTGCAAGAACCCATTAAAATTAAGCCCTTTTCTGAAATTTTCTTTATCCCGTTTAAAGAATATTTTTTTCTTTAAAATGTTAATGAAAAAAATTTTAATTTTGCACCAAAAAAATTTCTTGAAAATTTAA